ATGTTTCCACAGCCGGTGTGTTGTCCATGGACATTGATATCGAACTTTCGAGTCTTGCACAGCGTGCCCAATGACATCATGCCATTTTTAGATTAGGGGCCCGCAAACTTGTCGCACTATCGAAAGCCTCAACAAACATGCGCTCCACAAACGCCTCCTAACACGAAACACACCACACGAGGTTGAGGTGTTTTTCCCATCATGCATACCGTCGCTAGGTGCAACGCAGGTGCCACTATTTTTGGAACTGGGCTTGCGCACTCACCACGACGGTCATGCCGACCGGATTCGCATTTGCGAACAGAACCTGATGTAATGTGGCGCTCGATTGAACAGCGAAGCCCACGTTACGTCAACTGCCAGCCTCGCAGGCCACGCTGCTTGTGGCGTCAGCGGGTGTGGCGTGCGGCTCCGGCACCCTGCATACCAAAGTTGAGGCTCAGCTTCGCGGACCCAAAAATGTCACCGCTCGCAGGTGGTTCCTGCATCACTAATGCCAAGGTGAATTCCACGTTGATGTGCTGGCTCTTTACAGGAGCAGTTGCGGTGAACGAATTCACGATCACAGACGTCTCAGTCAATGCAGAACTCACCTGGGCAACGTGCCGACATGCGAAAACGAGAACAATGCATCAAGCCGCAATATCCATCACAGCATGCGCAACTGTAGTATACGAGGTACCTGCCTTGTTGTTCGACGATCAATGCCACTTACATCACAGAAGTTGTTAGCGGTCAAGGGGTCCACACGTTAGGCTCGGAGATTTGTGCCTACGCCGGTGCACGCCCGTCCGGGGGGCAACATCATTGCCCGAATGCAACCCACCACGGTGAGAAATACGAGGAGGTATGACCGAATCCATGAGCATTGTTGGTTGTTGCTCGAGCGCTCGACTAAGTGACGTTGAGATGGTAATGAAGATCTTCGCAGAGATATAAGTACAGCTCCAGCCACCAAATCTTGTATCCATCATCCAAGCAGTCAATTTCTAAACACCTCACCTATCAACACCACCAAACCTCTCAAATCAGCCAAAATGCAGTTCTTCACCCTCGCCGCTCTCTTCGGTGCCGCCGCCATAGCCGCACCCGCTGCCCAGACTCCCGACTGCCCTAACCCGGCTCACTGCCAGGGCCCACCAGACGTCAACAGCTACGAGAACGTCAACTTCAAGGACTACACCATCCGCAAGAACAACGGTACCCTCCAGTCCGTCTCATTCAAGATTGACGGCCGCAACGCCACCGACCTTTCCTGCGTCGGCGGACCCTACCCTACTCTCCCCGCTCCTATCGTCAACTGCGGCGACAGCAAGTACCGTTTCGCCATGACCAAGGACATCAACGGCGACTACCCCATCACTCTTTACCACGAGCTTGGCACTGCGTACGTACATCAAGTGACACAGACTTTGGACGATAGACTAACATATGCGAACAGTGTCGGCTTCTGGGGTCAGGGCGTTGTTCCCACCTACTGCCACGCCGGTGGCAACGGTCCTAACGACTTCGTCTGCTCGCAGGTTGCCCAGTACACCTTGGTCATTGCTGCCTCTGGTTAAACATCGAATGAAACGATGACCGGGGTTTCTTTGTACATACATACACTTCACAAGTAATATAATACCAATCTGTACATTCACCAAACATTACGGGCTTAGTTGTGCAAGGCAGAATTTGCATTTGCGTGCGTGATGTCGTGCGTTTCGATAAGGCGAACAGCCACGGCATACGGAAGACTTGATCATGGGCACATTTTTACGATGTCGTGTGAAGGAAAGACAGCTTGTATCATCTATTGTATGAGTCTCACCGCTATCACGAGTGCGGGTGAAGAATACTGTAACCGTTACAAGCTGCATTCATTGACTGACTCCTTCACAGGCCCAGCAGGTTGAAAATGTCTTGTGACCAGCGCGCAAAAGGACACACCCACAGTGACCGACTTGATTGACGGGTCCACAACTTCAAGCATCCAGCATGTCGAACATGTATGGCAACTCGACACTTCATCAGAGGCTTTCCTCCTCAAAAGCCATCTCTGACGCCCCTACTACCCATATATCCCTTCTCTACAAACGAGAAACAATAATTGTACAAACACAAAATGAACAGTAGCAATTTCATCATCCTCCTAACGGCCACCTTTCCCGCCCTCGCCATATCTTCCTTCCTCTTCTCTTTAGCGACATACTTCCGGGCCCCTGAAGCACATCCGGAGACTCAAGATCGAGTCGACAACCTCGAAGATCTTGAGGATATTGTACCAGCGCTCACAGAAGAAATCAGGGCTTTGAGAAGAATGGTTGATCGGGAAAGGCAGAGAACGAGAAGGCTGGAAAACGAAGTAAGAGATATGGGAAGGCGACAGCGGAGAGGCGAAGAAACAGCAGATGATGATGGTGATGAGGCAGAAATGGAAGACGATGGAGACGGAGAGATACAAAAGCACTATGAGGGAGAAATACCTGTACGAAAGCCGTTCGATGTCGACGAGTTTCTGGAAGAGCAGCGGGCCAGGGAGCTGGCTTGTCGTATGATACAGAGGTCGATGATAAACAGGACTCGTTGTTCCGGTGGATATCCCACCGACGGCATTTCCGATGAGCCGTACCATAATTCAAAGGTGTGCGGCATACGGGGCGGAGAAGTCACTGAACTGGACGATGAGGAAGCACTGGAAGCAGCTGCGGCCAGTGCTTTACCACCCAGCCCTGAAGAAGGTTCAACATCATCGAGAGATGAACCGCGCATACTTACACAAGCCGTACGCGCCGGTGGAAACGTAGAGACTCGCGCTAGAATGCTAGTAGAGGAAGACATACCTACGCTCCTGACGAATGACGACAGCCATACTCCCACAACGAATGGACATTCTCAAATACCTCGTCTTGATACCACCAACTACGACATCTTTACCATCACATCCTCCCCCATACGTCGGAGATTGAATAACCTCTACCCCTCCCCACGCGGCCCCCGTCCCACAAGGATAGTCATTCGAAACGATCCTGGAGGCTTGTGGCGCCGGACTACCTTAACCAATGTTCTGACTGATATAACGCCACAACTAGGACTGAGAACCATGCGCACTATCATCGAGGAATACGAAAGATCGTTCTTGGATAATGCTTCGAGGCGTGATGCAATGACGAATGGACATATTGGGCATGCCGCACCCCGTGACGGTTGGTATGATACCGAGCCGACTCGTTTGACCACCAACATGCCCAGTGGAGAAAGACATGCTCATCAGCCCAACGGCTACACTAACGGCTATACTCGTACTCCCTCGACCAATGGCAACATCCAGTACCCTTCCTTCCCAAACGGTCATGTAAACAACCACCTTCCCTCCAATGACAATCGTTTCTATGGCTACATCTACGAATCTACAAATGACGGCTCTCACGAAGAGGACTACGCCGACGCACGAGAAATTGTTCGGCCACTCCTCGTTGTACTGTACGGCTTGAGACCTTCCATCGGCTCTAGGGTCATCAGGGATATCATCGTTAGATACACCATAGCGATGGGTTTGGGTTACACTGACCCGAACAATCACCGTCGTACGTTGTTGACTACGGCGGCTGTTCACCTTGAGGGTGTAAACGGGTTTGTCGATCACGAAGGCGTTGAAGATCTGAGTGAAGATGTGTGGATCCGTGAGCCTGATAGCGAGTATCGAACTGGTGATAGTCGCGGAAGCGGAAGAAGCACCAACGACAACAGAAACGGGACTGCAAACACCTTCCATATCAACGCCGGAATCGTAACGCCAAACGACACCAGTGCCAATGGCGATCCCCTGACAAATGGTCGATCCCACACCTCTAACGCATACATTCAAACCCCATCCCCAGAGCGGCTTACCGGAGACCCAGAAGACATCCGACCGCGTCCCCGCCTCTCCACCCCCGAACTCAACGAAGCGATTGGAGACTGGGGCTCCGTCTCATACACGCTCGACGGCCCTATTCTACGCCTCCGCGCGATCCGCGCCGAAGGTGGAATAGACCAGGAGCTCCATCTCCGTCCGCACCAGGCAACGGAGGCTAGGACAAATGGGTACGCAACAGCAACCCAAATCATTCCCCCAAGTATCTATCTTGGAAATGACACGAGAAGTTCATCAGAGTCTTCAACGCGCTCTTCTCGGAGCGCATCCTTAAGCGGAACCACACTCGTCAACTCCGCCGTCGGAAGTACAAACGGCGACACTGTTCCCACTTCCAACCCGCCTACGAACGGTGAGCTATCAGAGAGCGTGGAGCTCCACCGTAACGGCGCTTATGAAACCCCTACTGCAACGCTTAGGCGGCGTCGCGATGCGAGGGATATGAGGAGAGCCGCTAGGGAGAATTTGCTAGTGGAGAGGGGGGGTATGGAAGAGGAAAGCGCAGAGAGTAGGGAAGGAGGTAGTGAAGGCATGATGGACGCGGAGATCGCGGAAGTGGAGGAAATGTGGCGGGAGATTCGTAGACAGAGGGGGACTATGGAGGAGGAGATGATGAGGCATGTTGCGGCGAGGGAGCGTGCGGCGCAGGCGAGGCAGACGAATGGTGTGGAAACGAATGGTGTGGTAACGAATGGGGCGGGAACGAATGGGGCGGGGAGTGAAGGGGGTGATGAGGCTTCCGAAGGCTCTGGGTCTGAGGCGAGATAAAGGAGTCTTGATAGCGAGTAAGCGTGGGAGCAACATCCTGCACTATTGTACGCTTAACGTTTCAGAAGACATTGATGAAGTCGCATGTTTCTGCATTTTGTAAGATGTAACCAACTATTCTGCGCTCGATAAATCCATATACAGTCTATGACATCTTTAACAAAGCTCGGATATCGTGGGACATTAGCACTTCGCCGAACGTTCTTGATAAATCATGCTGGTGGCTATTCCTCGTACTTTCCCATACTCTTGTAATCGTAAAAGAACTGTAAAACCTGAGACAAGCTATCTGCTGATAATATTGATCGTGCGCCGAGAGGTTGCTGAGACGTTCTTAGCCGCTCCGTCGTCGAGGGACCACGGGTCGACGTCGGGTGTAGAACTCGATAGTAGCCTGTAGATCAATGTGTGAAGTCAGTAAACGTCTCACAACAGTCTGTACACGGATATTACTGACGGTGCCTTGCTGAACGCCTTCCTGGAAAGCGGTCTCAACATCAGGGTCCAGATGAGCTTGCGACACGAGAGACACGGCAAACGCTTTGGCCATCATCATAGACATGCGAGGTGTATCGCTTGTCCCCTGCTTCAACTGGAACGAATCCACCAACGATGAGACTAGTCCTTGAATGTGTGCAAGGCTGACGCCGACGCGGTGCATCTTGAAAGCCCGGCAGACCACAGCCATAGCTCGTGCGGTGCGGATGTTGATGATTGTGTTCCTGTCGCGCAAGAGCGAGGAGACGTACTGTGTCTTTCGGCCGGATTGTATATCCCGCAAGTTGAGGATATCATCGCAAGCTTGGTTGTGGCGTGACAAAACAGTGAGGTCGGAAAGGGGGAAGTGTGAGAGTACCGCTGCAGCTGGGACGGAAGCCCAAACCATTCGTTCTGAGAAGTGTTAGCAAAGGGATAGTATGTACGGCGTATTGGTGCTTCACCTGCGTGGCCCTTGTATCTTGCCCACCATGCTTGGCCTTCCGCTTTTAACATCCGCATCACGTCAGCAGCTGGCAGAGTTTTGTGCGGTTCTGTGAGCAATGTATGGTCGAGCGCAACTACAGAAAACCACCATTATTAGCATGGGACCAGCGTGATACATGATGTGGGACTTCAACGTACTGACGGCGATCCTGGGCTCATGCATCGTAGAAGCTTTGACGAGAGCTTGCAAGAGACTCGTCGACACTGAGACAAAAGCCGATGCGCCGCCACTCATGGACAGATGGAGGTTCGTCAAAAGCATGAGAGCTTGTTGACCTTGTCCGTCTGGGGAGAAAGGCGGCGGAAACTCGCCCCTCCAAATCGAGAAGGCTTGACTTACGAAGCCCGTCTCGTCGTCGAACATCGTCCGGCTGTTTGCATCCCAAACGCGAAATCCAATCATATTCCTGCCAGGGGGAGCCCGTAAGGTTGACTGCGTAGGTGTGATGGGTGGTGTATGATAGCCATCAACGTCTGACCATGTTTCCTCATCGTCTTGCTCAGCCAGTGTCATCCCGCCGAGCTGTAGGACCTGCAATGGTAGTGCTTCCGGAGCCGGCATCTGAAGGGCGCGTTCTCTCTCCTTTTCCCTCTTTAGCGCACGTCTGACTAGGGATTTATAATGCTTCCTCGTCTTGGGAGACTTTGCAGTTCTCGCCAAGCCAGACTCGATTCTCACCTCGTGTATGCGCCGTGATAAGTCAATGCCAGACTCCAAAGCGGTATCTTCGATGATCGCGTGTATCTCGTCGTACTTGTGTTCTGGGTCGTGGAATGGGACTCTCATTACTCGATCGAACTCGGGGTATGCGCGACCGCCATACAGAATAAGGTGGCTTTCGAATTGATAGCGAATGACATTGAGCCTGAGGTTGAGGCCGGTGACAGCATTGAAGACCTTCGGAAGGGTTGCCACGTTTGTGTCCTCGTACCATCGATAAAGGATGGTCAGTAGCTCTCGTTCGTCTTCATGCCAGTGATGAGGAGGATCTCGTTCCAGCCTTCGAAGTGCTGCCAGCGAAGTGAAGTCGCTGGGCTCAGAGGCTTGTTGTACAATGCCATTGGTAAGGCGAAGGGCTGGCATACCGAAGTCCAGAGTCCTTCGTACCTGTGGCGTGGGTGCGGTATCACAGACGTTGAAGTGATGGCTCGCCCTTTCAGAACTGCGAAGTATAGCAGGAAGGTTCCTGTCTTCGTCCGATGGGCAAGGTGTCGACAGTGGAAGTGTAGCCTGAGAGTCGAACGAGGAAGAACGCTCCTTAGTCGTACTTGAAGCGGAGGTACCGATTGTTGATGACACAACTGCATTGATGTCTTCTCCAGACTCGCTCTTGACATATGGCTCAAAGACATCCTCAATTGAAGGAAGCACCAAGTCTTGCTCGGTGTCATCGTAGCTTCTTGTTAAGGATGCTATGAAGTTGTCAGTGCCTGCTTCATAAAGAAAGAACAGAAAGATGTCTGGGAACCACTTACCTTGAATGTCGGCTTCGGTCACTTCATGCAATTGCTGCGGCATCTGCGACTGGTGCGGAGCTGGAGGTGTCGCTGCCGCCGCCGGTTCCCACAGCATCACGCCGGCATCCGCTGCTCTCCAAACGTGTCTCGTCATTGCGATGTAGTATTTATTTGCTGCTTCGGATGCAACAAATAGTAGATGAAACAGCGAAGGTTGCAGTCGGCTGGGATTGGAAGAGAGAAGACGTTATACGGTTTGAAGAGTTTGCAACCCACCAGGCATCCAGCTCGAGGCGCGTCGGACTCAAGTCGCGTCTACGCGCCATAAAGGCTTGTCGCTGCGCGTCCGACGTGTCATGAGCGCGGTTTCGCGTGGTGAGGTGAAAGAGGCGGCTCCGTGCGGCACTCTCCATGACAGTGAGCCAGGGCGCCTACATGTGTCAAGCGAAAAGCCAGACATACGAGATAGAATTGTTCCTGAGTGTTGATAGAGCCGATTCAGTATCATGGAGTAGGTGGGTAGAGCTCAGGTCGATGGAATAGCTGAGTGGAATTTGCTCGTTCTGCCACGGCATTAGCAGTGAGGCTTGCCGGTATGTCCTTCACCATATCTTGACTTGTCAGTTCAGCGTTAGAGATTATATGCGAGAATCAAACCTCTGTGAGTGTGCTCTGTTCAAGAATGTAGAAGAGAAAGACGGGTGAAGATCAACGCATGCCGTGTAGTAAGATGACGCCATCGATAGCTGAATCTCACCGCTCGCTTCGCCGTATTGTGACTTGACGAGCACGTTTGGAGGACCGGTATAGGTGAGAACGAGTAGAACAACGGGCCATTGCTTTGCAGCAGCAAAGATCCGCAAGTGGAAGCTGGACCAGTGAGCGTATGTATCTTCTGACTGTGCCCCACTTTTGCTCTTCGATGGCATCGCCGCGACAGCAGGTGATAGACAAGAAGCCTAAAGTGAAGATACCTATAATGATTCAATCAATTGAAAAGCAGATTCCTTCCCACGCTACGTTACATTCATTACTGGCGTCGAAGAGCTGATAGAAAAGGATAGAAAAGCAGAATGCAAAGCGCACAACTTTTGGTGCAACAGAAGACTTTGGACGTAAACCATCCCTCTCGAACAAGTGGTATGCGAAAGTGTCGTTCGCTGCGCCGGCGCTATGCTTTGACAGTCAAAGTACGGATTCAAGACAGATAGCCGAAAAGATTGGAGTTCCTGGTCCTGTTGCCGCATGATTCGTCCGACCATTCCAAAGAAGCGAATGCGTGAGATCGACTAGTCCGGTCCAGAAAAACCTGCAACGATACGGCGCAGTCTGCGTTCGCACAACTGACGAAGATGGGGTGGAAGTGACCAGGTGACGGGTTGTTGGGTTGTCGCATAAGCGCCCGTCAATGGTGCTGTGGCTGCTGCTCCACATGCATATGCGGTCCGTAGACCGCATACGGGATCCAAAACGTGATCGCGCCTGCATATAATGATTCCAGGGCTGCAACACGGTTCGATGGATAATTGCTTTTCTTCTTACGCCCGCCTCACGCAACGCAACCCAACAGATGTTGTTGCGGCTTTATTACGCATAGCTTCGCTTCCTTTTCTGGTGGTTTCTTCGGCCGCTCATTTGTGGCCATGCTGCTCGGTGCAGATCTTCCTTACGACCCACTTTTCCCAGAACTTGCGCTGCTGATTGGTGACCATGATTCCGTCGTCGTCTCCTAAGACGTCGACGCCATCCATGTGTCCGTTGCAGTTGCACCATGGAATCGAGGCTGGGGTATCGGGCATAGGCGGGAAGGAAAGGGTGCCTAGAGAGGTCAGTATATGTCCCACATGCACTTCGTACAGCCAGAACTTACCACCCTGTTCAGGCTCGTCGGTCTCTGCGTCAGATTCTGTGTCAGCTATTGAACTGCCATCAGCGTCATTCCCGCTAGATGGATCTTCGTGTTCGTGTTCGTAATCGTAATCGCTTTCGTCGCTACTGTCGCTTCCAAGAGGATCGTCTTCTGGTACTTCGGCTCCCATAACGAACTGCTCGTCGAAGTGCCTAAAGATTGACGTACAAAGTCAGTAAATATCTCACAACCGTTGGTACACGGATGCTACTTGCTTCTCATATCCAATCCGCCTGAGAGAAATCCAGTCAAGCCGTGAGAGCTCATCGCGTAGACAGGGAAGCACGTCTTTCCACATGCTGCCCTCTTTCAAAAGTACATCACGGAGACGCAAACCACGCAGAGTATCTCTATGTCGTCGGGCAATGCCCAGAATTTCATCTGCGTTGAGACGCCAGGCTTGAATTCCAAAAGCTACAAAGACGGGGATATCAGGTTAGTGTATGTCTAATGATGCAGAGACACAAAACGTACCCTGCAGCTTTTCCCACTTCACGTTGTGGAAAAGCTCTTCTAGCCGCAATGTGAGTGGTCGGTATGAAGGAAAGCCAATATGCACAGCTTCAATATTCTTAGCCGCAGTAAACAATGCCTTGGACAGGGAGGTGAGATGTCGCATCCGAACGTCTAGGTCCGTGCTGTCATCGAAATGTAGCTCTAGACAGGTCAGGCGTTCGGCAAGGATTCCCAGGGTTGATGGCGGATTGCTAGCGGCACCTAGTACGCTCTGCGGGCTTAGCATGGGGGATGAGAATCGCGAACATGGCGATTCGGACTCAAGGAGGGCCTGAAGACCGAGGTCGAAGTTAGTAAATGTCTACTATGAATCCGTACACGGATGTGACTTGCCTGACCGATTGTTTTCGCGCTATGCAAGCATGCCGGTGGCCATGTCGGTACTAGACCGTTCAACTCGTTGTGACCCCGCATATACGTGATTAACACGGCATCTTCCTGGTCCTGCAGGCGTAGGATCTGGATATGCTGGAGTGAAGTGAATCGCTGGAGCGCAAAATGCAGGATATGTGCATCTTTCCTGCTGTTCAGAAGGCTGGTCTGCTCATTCACCTTTTTCTGGAATTTTTCGATATCAGGGAAGCTGAAACTCTCGGGCCGTGTGTGGAGGAGCTCCTGTATGCGCTCTCGTCCTTGATCGTAGAAATATGGCACCATGTAACTGAACTTCTTCACACGGCCGGCAATGTGAGGCTGGCCAGCTATTCTCTCTAATCTTTCGAGTCCCTTTCGCGAGAAGCGTGTCGTAACGCGCGAGAACTGATGGATGACACCCTGCAGAGGCTCAGTACATGTCTCACGTGCATTTCGTACAGCCGTACTCACCAAATTGCTGAATCTTCTGCACGTCAATCTACAAAGGCGAGGATACGAAGTCAGTGTGTGTCTCACATGCATTGCGTACGGCTATACCACTTACCTAAAGCTCGCAATCGTCTCGGCATCGTCGGGCTCAGGTGGGAGGGGCAGCTTGAAAGATTCCTGCGACAGGTATGCGCGGCGCTCCAGACTTATTGGTTTTTCTGGTTCGCTCGCAACATATTCGAGGATGATGCGAAGAAGCTCGTCGGCGAGATCGAGGATACCCATTTTAAGTGGTCACATTCATGACGGCCGCTCCGAAGAAGCTCTGCTCAGGAAGCTTCCCAGCGCGATTTAGGAGCGCACCGCACAGCGGATATACTCTCAATGCAGGGCAGCAGCGTTCGGGCCGGATCGGGAGGAGTGAATGGCAGGTGGTAGTGAGCGTAGCGACAGCGGGACAGTCGAGTCAACTGACAACGTGGTGTTATCCGACAGCCGGCACCGATCTATGGGATAGCAAGCGAAGGACAGCCAGAGGGGCGTGGTCGGAGAAAGAAATGCATGACCTCTCTGCCAGCAGTCAGCTAAGCGTAGAGTTGCGAAGACGACCTGGGACTGGACACGCCGCCTGCAACTTGCAGCGTGCACCCCGGTACGCCCTCGCCCAAACTGCGATGCATTAAACTGCAACGGGCATAACGTCTCACATGATCACTAGCGTCTGCATTTACATAAGCAGGACGGTAAACATGCATGGCTCCTCCCGCGAAGAAGAGTCGAATGGCCGCTGTGGACTACTGCACAAATTCGCTAGGGCTGGCTGTTACGCCTGCGCTGATTCGAGGCCCAAAGGCCTGCTCCCCACAGCCCACTACACGAATTTCCATCCATGGATGGTCTCGATGCGTTGCCAACGAAGCATGCATCTGGAGGTCGGCTGATTGGCGTCACAAGCGCTTCAGATGCGTCATCCGGCCGATTCCACTGCCGTGTACTTGGGATGGCGCAAACGCCATTGAAGCGATGGGCATCTCATGACGACACGGAGCTTTAGGAGCCTCATAGTGGGCTGAAACGGGTGTCTGTATGTCTCGCGATGTGCGTACGCTGTTGCAGTGCGTCATCTGTCCTGCTCGGCAGGAGATGATAGCATGCAAGTTCCATTACAGCACACGAAGTACGGCGTGCAATATGTAAATAGTATACAAGCATCTGTGTAGGCGCAAGCGACCCGAATTCGATCATCGCACAAATTCGGGACGGAGAGGACATGGCCGCAATCCCGCTCGTACATGCGCCGATGACGATGCATGCGTGGAACTGCCGGTCAGATCGACGTGTTGCTTCACAAGCCTATACTCGCCCTGGTAACGTCATGCGGACCTGCGCGGTCGTGTAGCTATGGCGCACGCAGCTGTCGTAGATCGTCGCACAGGAAATGACACTAGATGACCTCCTGCCTCGTCGACTTGTCGACCTCTCGTACCGACGAAAACTCTACTCACATATCGCCTGGGCCGGTTCCAGCACGGCAAACACTCAAAGACGTGTCTCGCCATCAACCCGCCCGGCCACGCCTATCGGGTCACGCTTTCGCTCTGGATTGAACACGTTCGCTTCGTTTTCGACGAATCTCAGTGCTGCTTAGCTTGCTCTGGAAGGTTTCATCGATGCTGTCTTCTTCGCTGGCATCGAGAACAGCGACCTCAAAAACTTCAAGGGGGTCCCATCCCTGCTCGCTGCGCTTGTTGTTCACTGCAGCACCTCCGCTCCTTGTTTCGAGCGACAGCACCAAGGCAGAGATGTCTTTGTCAGTGATGGTTGGGCCGAAA